ATTAGTGTAGGGCGGTTTCTTCAAAAAGTGACACAAACACCTGTCACATATGATTGTTTTATGTTGAGCTTTTGAAATTTGTGCACCAAGGAAACGAGATAAATTCGAGATCCATGTGTAGTGATAAATTCTTTCTTGGTCATCATTGAGGATGTTTTCTTTTTCAATCATTAGAAGATGAATCGTTCTTCCTTCCTCTTGCGGGGTGTTTGGAGGATTTTTGCTCAAATAGAGTGGCACAGTCCATTTCTTCTCTGATTCTTCTTCATTATCAATTCCATATACATTAATCGACAATTCGTTCATTTTCTCGAACTTGGGAATGTCTTTTAATGCCATGGGGTATTTGCAATTACCAAAGCTTTTCATGATAGTGGTGAAAGAGGGATATGAGTTTGTTCGTTGCTTATCTCGAACGTTGCAACGAGCGGCCATGATAGACCATAAAAAGTAATAGGTATCGTCTTTATTCTGAACGTTCACAATTGCATGTCTTTTTTAAATCCATTCAGGTAGTTCAACGAAGCTAGATCATCCCCGCAATGGATTATATTTATTCATGTTCACTTCCAAATTAATTACGTCAACTAATCCCCAGCCGGAGTCTTTTTCCTGGAACTCATCTGCTTTCATAAGACGTTTTTCTCTAATGTGTTCTTCAAACCACTGTCCAATATCAGTTGAATCAAGGATTATTTCATTTTTTGTGTTAAAATATTTCTCTTCAATGAAAGGTTGCTCTTTACTAATTTCATATTTACATGATAATACTACATTGTAAGTCCTCCCATCGGACTCTATCAGTTAAATTACCCCTCAAGTCTCCTCCTATCACTTCCAAGTTTCTGAATCTTGCGTAGAACCCTTTCAGTCGTCCTAACTTGTAAGTTGAATGCCTTTTCTCACTATGACTCGCACTCCTCTTCAATAATGCATTAATTGCTTTCGAATGTCCTGTGATGTGATTAAGCCATTGTTGAATTTCCCTGGGTCTCCATTCGTTTTCACTATTTCATACGCATCCTCCAATGACCTCAAAAATCTTTTACACGCTTTAGGAACCATGTTGTTCACGATAACGGCACTAAAGTACTAGCGGAAAACCAAGGTGAAATTTGTTGATGTAAATGCACATATAAGTGTGCCTACACTCGCAACCTCTGGAAAATGTCACGTGATTGGTTGAAAAAGAATCATGTGACTCATGGAAAATTATGAATAAAATAGCAACATTGTTTTTTCGTGGGGAAAAAAAATATCTGAAAAATGTCCTGGGTACCATTTGATCTTTGCGGTGCGATAAGACATCAAAGGGCCTGAAAACTACTCCAGTTTGTCAAACATCATGTTCTTCGGATTGTGAGTACCCATGTGTTTCCAGGTGGACAGCGATAGCCACGAAAGTCTAAGAAAACAAAAGGTTGCGCTCGAATATCTTCCCACGGTTTTCCATCGTTATCAGTCTCGCACCAGATTATTTTATAAAGAAAAAAATCATCAATGAAAAAGTAAAAAATGAAATTATTTTTCAATTTATTTGTAATTTAAACTCTACTGTCATCTCCGTTATCATGTGCGTGGAATTTGATGTTGTTGTATTCACCACGCAAGTACTCCAACTTTGGTGAGCCTCTCCTAATTTCGTTCAGCAAGTCTTCGAATTGTTGGGGATTTCAAGGATAAAGATTGGTTTTTCCATGAAGTGGTAAACAACAAAATACAGGAAATCTCAATATATACATAAATACCCTACGTCTGCAGCCATCAATTTCTTAAATAAACAATGATACACCATTACAAATAACGGTTTTCCATGAAGAAGGTCAAGACCAAGATACCGAAAATCGCAAGTTCGAGCATGTTTGAAAAACGTCATGTGGTCACCAGATGTGACACATCTAGGACCATCGCAAGAGGTGGGAAGTCTGATAGGTCATGAATTAATCTGTTCAATCAAAAGCGGTAATTACACCGTGAACTGCGAATCAATTCACTCTTCCTCCTACCCACCCATATGGGATAGATTAATCAGATCATCGATAGAGACCCATGCAGTCCGAAACCGCAAATTAATTGTTTAACCCGCGAATCAAACCGCGACTTTGCGGATGACCCTGCGAATTACGTAATCAAGCGCGGATTAATTACCCCTTTCAGCCACCCGGCCCTCTCGTGGGGGTCCTTAGGCCAAACACCATGGATAAATTGATTAATCCGCGAATCAAACCGCGACCCGCGAATTAATCAACCTTTTCACTCACCCCTCGCGGCAGAGGATTGACCAGGTCACTGATAGAGAGTCTCATCCGACAGAGAAAACCACCAATTAAATTCATTAACCCGCGAATCAAACCGCGACTCGCGAATCATTCAACTCTTCCACCCACTCAGTCGCCCTCTGGCCAGATCTCCACTAGACCGATGGGCCAGAACCTACTAATGAATTGATAATTACTTAATTAATGAGACAATTAAGCAATCAATAATGAACTCAATCAATAATTAATTAATTAGCGTGTATTGATTAACCCTGCCACCTACTCAGCGCCCTCGCGGGGGCCCTTTGGCCGGGTCTCCGCTAAAACGTTGCGCCAGAACCGCAAACTAATTGCTTAACCCGCGAATCGAACCGCAACCTCGCGGATCTGACCGCGAATTACACAATCAACCGCGGATTAATCAACCCTTTTACCCACCCGGCTCTCTCATGGCGGATCCTTTGGCCCAACACCGTGGATAAACCTGATTAACCCGCGAATCAAACCGCAATCTGCGAAGTAATCAACCCTTTCACCCATTCTCTCATGGGGGATGGATTGACAAGTCGCCAATAGAGCCCCATTTTTTTTTATATTCCGGCCCTTTCTGCCCTCTGATTGGCTAATCGGCCCTATCCAACCCTATGCATGCGGCTGTGGATTCTACACTGCACCGCATTCGCACTCCTATAGAACATGGAGTAGCATGGGAAACCACAGAAAACCCATGCCGGTACAGGCGGTCACTATATTAGCGACCTCTCCCTCGCCGGAGCCTCCGATTGGAAAACTCGGTTCCACGGGGAATCGAACTCACAACCTTTCGCACACTAGGCTCGCACCTAGCCGCTTCGGCTACCGACGTCGGTAAAGCCCCATTTGACCGAAAAACAACCGCGAATCAAATTAATTGACCCGCTACTCAAACCGTGAATAGAATTAATTAACCCGTGAATTAAAGCCGTGGATCCGCGAATTAATCACCCACCCACCCACTTTCATCCGTCCCCCTACTGGGCCCCAACGACCAGGTCTCCCCTAATACGTAGACCCAGAACCGCCATTATTTATCTACTCTTCTCCCAACCAACTTTACACTTCTTCCATATGTGATTGAATTTGTAGAGTATGGGAGTTTTGCGTATTTAAATACACCGCATTAATCTCTCTCACGGCGTAATTTTATATGAGGGCACCACGTTATGGTATCTCAGGTGAATCCAAAATTTGGGAAAGGGAAGGGGAAAAGGAGCTTAGCTGATATCAAGAGACATCACTGAGCTTTCTTCTTGTTGGAACAACGGAACCGAGCACACTGCGGACGGAGTTTGATTAACTCGAATTCGTGGTCTCTGACGAAGGACACTCATCGACAGCGAAAAGACTGTGGCCACCCTGATGGCGTGTGCTACAAATTGACGATTGTCGACAGAGCTCACCGACGGATAGAAAAGCCCACGAGTGTTTTGGATGTTGTGTCTCATCACAAAGATGAGTGTCTAATTTTTTTTATTATCGGCGTACATCGATTGCATCGTCGACATTGAACCTGAGGTAGAAGTCAATCTACGAAGACATCCAATCGAGCGGTTCATCAGAATTAAAAGCTGGATAATTGTACAGAGTCGTGAGGGCGATTAATCTGTTGAATGTCGATCACTCTGTTATTGAATGCATATCTGGAAAATCAATGGACGCGTGATAGTCAGTGAAATTGATCGAGCTAATAATACATGGTCGGTTCCATGAATTTGCTTTTATAAGAATAAATATTATAGTCGCTGTACATTGTCTATACGGAACTAATCAGGAAATGAAGGAAGTTCGAAGAATATAACGTATAGGTAATGTTTGGATCGGAAGAAAAATTGTATTACTCAATTCAAAATGCACGTTTTTGGTGTGGATAATCATTTGATTTGCCCGTTACTATTTCGCCCTTCATTATATACGTGTGTCATTTTATTGGCGACCAACGAGCGGATACGAACACGACCTTCGAAATTTTTATTTATTCATTCTGTTTCTAAAGGTACAACCTTGTAACAGCAATAGCTGCAGCAATACAAAAAATCTATTTATTTAAACGCCAAAAAAAAGAAAGCTCTGTCCGAATTAATTAAGTGACCAAGGTTAAAAAATGCGGGGGGGGGGATAGGTTGACAAATAAATTACAATGGCAATGGACAGGTGCGATTGGGTCAGACAGTAATGTAACAATAAAGAATCATAGCGTGGAAAATCCGTAAGAGAAAATATATAAGAGACCTTTTTGCAGGACAGAGCATCAAAGAAAATAACATCAAATAATCAAAGTCACAGTAAACTAGGTAAAGTCAAAATGAAACAAAAATGAAAAAACAGGTCAACATAATAATCATTGTAGAGGCTTGAAATAGTTCCTAATGAGGTTGACGTTCTGGATGCGGGGGTTGATCACACGTGAATGGACCGCCGAAGACACAACGACGCTGTTAATTGTAACAGCCCTAATCCTCAGGGCACATTTGGTGTAAAAAAACAGTTTTTTGGCAGCAACTGTATCAAGATTCAACAGCAGAGCAAGAAGCTTGTCAGGCTCTCCTTGGAGACCAGAAGAGTTGCCAAAGTACTTCAGGAGAATGACCATTCTGTACCCACTGTAGGCAGGACAATCGAGCACGAAATGCCGGATGGTTTCATTAGCGTTGCCTAGACAGGAGGGACAGGCCCTAGAGGGGTCCAGTTTGAAGAAGACCCTGTTCAGAATGAGGCTGCAGCAGGTTCAAGTTGCCTGGTACAGGGGAGATTCATCTGGCAAAAACTGGACGCGTTGCAAGCTGCTATGTCAGCATCTAGGTAGAACTCCTTGAGGGAGAGGAGAACACGCACTTCCTCAGATTCCCAATACACGAAGTCTTTGCTAGTGCAGTTGAAATCGATGTTGGTTGCTGTGAGGACTCTGGCTAGCTGCAGGACTGGGTTGTAGTTTATAGTATGCCTCTGGACATCACCAAGCGCACCCTGGCTCAGGACAGGAACAGCCAGATCCATGAGGCGACACAGACACACTTTAGGGAGCCTATGGTCCTCCATCTTGAGCACCTTGATGTACCACCTCAGGATCAGTTTAACCACCAGATACCCAAGTCTTGTGGAACCCACCTCACGCCTGAGAACATAGCTGGGAGTGTTACTGGGGAGTAGCAACAGTCTCTTGTAAAAATTCGACTGGATGAGTTCAATGTCCTCGATGTATTGGAGGGCCCAAGCAGGAGCAGCGTAGAGTAGCGTGGAAACAACAATGCTATCAAAGAGGTTCAAAGTAGCATACCAAGAGTCAGAGGTGGCACGTGAGAGAAGTCCAAGTACTGAGCCAACCGCAACTTTGGCCTTTTTAATTGCTGATTTAGCTGGAAGCCATCCAAGGGCAGCGGTAGAAAACGGTATCCCTAGATAAGTATAAGAGGATACAGTTTCCACCGACTCACCCGCTCTTTCAAGGGGAAAACCCTGTATCCGTGATATCAGTCCAGCCCTCCTGAACACCACATTGGTCTTGGTCTTTGATACATTCACTTTAAGATACTTGCTGTTGGAATAATCCTCGAGGTCATGAAGGATGTGATGTAGGTGGATCTGGCTCCCAGTGAGTATCAACAGGTCGTCAGCAAAGAGAAGAGTCAACAGATCATTATTCGAGTCGATCGAGGGGTCATAATGGCCTTTCCCTCTGAGATATAGATCAATGTCATTGATGAACAGTATAAAGAGGAGTGGCCTCAAGCTTTCACCCTGACGGACACCTTCTGTGATCTCTGTCTCAGCCGAAAGCTTCCCCTCTGACCTCACTTGCAAGCTGGCATGCTCATAGAGGAATTTGACGATGTAGATAATTTTGCTACTCACTCCAATATGGTGCAGCCAGGACCAGAGGGCACCATGATTGATGGAATCGAAAGCACGACAAAAAGCCCGTACACCTTTCGCTGAGGGAGTCGGAGCTGGAGATGAACTGTTGAAAGGGCCACGAAGATGTTATCTAGGCAGGATCTGCCTCTTCTGAACCCAGCTTGACACTCCGGTAGGATCCGGCGCGATTCAGGCCGTTTCTCGAGTGTCATGCATAACAGCTTGGTGAAGATCTTTGCCAGAACATTAACCAAAGCAATACCTCTGTAGTTCTCAGGGCTGGATTTGTTACCTTTCTTATGTATCATGGTCATGAGTATTTTGTGCCATTCCTCTGGTACCACTTCCCTTTCCAGGATCTTATTAAAGAAGGTAACAAGGTACAGCTTTCAGTTGCCAGGCAGGTTTTTGAAGAACTCCGCAGAGATTCCGTCAACACCCGGAGACTTCCCAGATTTGGTGGAGGCAAGAATTGTTCAATTCCTCGAGGTCAAAGGGGGAGTCTAGTAGTTCACCAAAGTTTCCAAAATACGACGAGTCATCAACAACGCGTGGAGGGTAAACTATCCGATAAAAGGCTTCCCAAACCTCGACACTCAGTGAAGGAGAGGCAGATCTAAGTCTCAAGGACTTTATGGCGGACCAGAATTCGGTTGGAGAGGCAGCGTTTGCAATTTTCGCGCATAGAGCCTGAAAGTGGTCAGCTTTCTTCCGTTCCAATATTCTGAAGTATTCTCTTTTGGACTGGTCGAATTTCTCCGCATAGGGAGGTAGAAAACCCTGAGTTTGACAAACTGAGAGGGCCCCTTTAGCAGACTTTTTCGCTCCCCTACAGTCCGCATCATACTAACGGTGAGTTACTCGATGTTTTATTGATGAGCTCATTTTGGAGGTCATACCCAAGTGAACACAAGTTTCCTCAATGACTGCGGTTAAGTTAGTAAGCTGTACGCTTACAGACAGGCAAAAGTCCATTGAAATTCTTCTTGACATCTCCATCAAGCCCCAGTACTGTTTGGAGAGGTCACATTTCCATTGAAGTCTCGATGTGACTGGTTTTGTGCGGGGGCGAGTCGTGTTGGGGCGAACAGGGGAGCTGAAGAGGTCCAAGGTCGTAGGGAAATGATCAGAGGGTGCAATAGCCAGGTCGACGAAAAAGTCATGGATCAGGTCCAGATTCATGGCGTCCAGGAATATATAGGCAATTGAACTGGTACGGTTGTTCTTCAAGAATGTTATTTCGGCTAGGGAATCACCGGGAGAGCGTCCGTTGAGTAAAATAAAGCCATTGTCACTCATGAACTCACCAAGCTCAGCTCCTCTGGTATCCTCAACCACCGGCTGAGAGAGGGATCTCGTTGGTGAGAGGACAGACCCCTCAAAGAGTTCATCTGGGTGTATGACGCCTGTTCCAATATTCGAATTAAAATCTCCTCCCAGTATAATTGGCTCATCCACCCTGCTTTGGGCAATCTTGTTGAGTACTAGTTGGAGGGGGCGAAGCACTGGATGGAGATGGCCACCAATATCATGCGTGATGTATAACAACCCCACATAAAGGGTCATGGAAACCGTGACAACTCTCGCGAAAATCCACCACCTGGTGATGTCAATGACATTTACCTGGAACTCATTTCTGATTAGAAGCACCAGTCTACCGCTGCCTCTACCCGGGTTGGTTGGGATTTTGATGGCATTTGACCATATCGACTAATATGTTTTAAACAGTCCAGGTATGGAAAATCCTTGTTTTACGAGCCACGTTTCCGACACTCCAAGGATGTCAGGGAGGTAGTCTGGTTGATAGTTGCCGATGTTGCAGTAGCCAAAGGAGTTCCAGAAAGTCAGCCTCAAGTTTTCTAGTTTTTTGGATGAGAAGAAAAATTACGAGTAGACGATGAACCACCAAGAAACTGGCGGGAGGGGGGGATTTTACGAGAGGAGAGGGCACTGACCTTGTTATTGGCCTGGTCCTAGTAGAACCAGGCACCGTTGACAGCTAGGTTCATAAAGCCATGTTTAATCGTGTTTCCCTTGGCCTTTTCCCCTCTGGCCAACTCCCTGAGATGAAATTCAGCCTCTCTCTCTGCCTCAGTAAGATTGTGCTGGATGTATACGTCCTTCAGACCAGCCTCCTTTTTGTTCTTGAATAGCTGGATTTTAGACTCCCAGGAGTCCAGTTGAGCTACAATCATCTCACGCGACTTTCCGATAGACCTGGCTTCGACAACTTTGCTCTTGAAGTCAACATTGCTCTGAAGATATGAAGACACCTCTGTGACAAGACCAGCATCTTGGTGATTCTGAAGATTCAGCCCACGTATTATTATGTTGTTTTTCTTTAAAAGCTTTTCTTGAGCCTCAATCTTTTGGAGCACCTTGGCGATAGGATTAGTGCCACTGAGGCTAGGTGTTGAGAGCTTGACTATCTCCTTCACTTTGTTCAGCCTGGCTTCAATCTCAGCAGAGGGTTTTGTCTGTCTAGCAGACTCCAAGGCTGTGAGCCTGTTGCCATAGGCAAATTGCTGATTTTTTATTTCAGCTATCTCATGGTCAACAGAGTTACGCCACGCCCTGAGCTCTTCCTGGTCATGGGAGGCCTGTTCCATCATTGTGTCCATCTTTTGATCCATTTTGGCCATCAACGCCAACATTGAGTCACTAGATTGGGGCATGATCGGAGCACCGTCAAATTGAAACGCTGTCTGGTTAAGGTCCATTGGCGAGGTCACTCCAGAGAGGTCTGAATCTGGTGTAGTGGATCGTGAGGGGCTGGTTAGATCGTGATGAGGTTCAAATGTCAGCCTCTTAGGCGACGGATCTGAGTCATTTGGTGAGTTCTCAACACTGGATGATCGCTTTCTGTTCGCTTTGTCACTGATATTAGAAAAAACATCCAGAATTGAGCGGGGAGGTTTAGGGTCCTTGGCTAGCGTCAAACCCGTGGGCAGCCTGCCAAATCTAGCTGGTGGTCTTGGAGTGGAGCCTAGTAGTGGTACTGGTGAGGTGGAAGATAGTGCTGGGGGACGAAGCTTGAAGGTAGAAGGGGTAATACTCTTCTCAGAAAAGAAAAACAGTCACGAGCGTTAAAATAAGACCAAAAAAGGAAGAGCGAAAAACTCCGCAACCAACACATTTGACGGTTCAACCTAACCCCCCTCGATCTTCGAAATAAGAGATTGTTTACATGTCGAATATAAGCGATGTACCCCTTCGGCGTACCCGGACACGAGCAAAAATAAAGAAGAAAGAATTGAGAAAATATTGAAGACTCCGAATATTATATGCCATTTGAAGACACCAATTATCCTTACTTCTCGAAACGGGAACACAAAATAAAAATGGAAACATTGAAATTGAGTGTGAATTTATCAAGGGAAAATAGATCCCCCAAAAACAAAAACAAAAAAAAAATTTTTTTGAAAAAATCGGCCAAGTGGGCCTTTGTAAGCATTATATATTTTCAAAAAAAATTGTAGTGTTCCTCAAAAAAAAAATAAAATTGAAAAAATGCCGGGTAACCATTTCAATGCGTTGTTGTGGAAAAATGTCCGAGTACTTATTTGTGTATAGTTGTTTCTGGGGAATTGAAAAAAGTGCAGAAATAAGGAAGAGCGCCAATTTCATGAAGTTGAACTGGTCATTTTGAAAAACTACAGAACTTTTCATAACATCTAGAAACAATTTCAGCTTTTTTCTGCAGTCGGCTTGAAATGTTGCAAATTTTATAAGTTTGAATTCATCAATGCCGACTCGATATTGTCTATTCCTGTGAGTTGCGGAGTGGGTACGACCATAAAAAGTGTGGTTATTCACACAAAGTCAATGAAAAAGAGTGTCAATACGAGTGTTTCTTAAAAAAAAATTGTTCAGAAAATTCTCAGGAGCAACGTACTTGACGTGGTTTTTTATCTTAATGCGGATTCTTATTTGGAAGTCTATTGCTTGAGATTTAATATCCATTTTGGGACTCAAAAAATGCTTTAAAGCATACTACACCTTGCTAGGTGTTCAAATCTTTAGATAGTCAATTGTGTGATTGATGCCTTAAGCTTATACTTTTCCATTTTGAAATATTTTCATTTTCATGAATAGAAATTAAATCAATTAAGGTAGTGATCGCCAGGTAATTATGGGCATTCGCAACATAAAAGCATGGAGAAGGTTCATTCGACCATGGTGTCAACATAAAGCGACAACTCTCGTTAATGTTTGTTTCACAAAACGCGCCAAGTACGTTGGTCCTGAGAATTTTCTGAACAATTTTTTTTTTTAAACACTCGTATGGACCTGATTATTTTTTTCACTGGGATTTCAGCCAATCAGTATTTGAGGCTGCCGAACAATTTTATTTCGGAAATTTCGAAAAAATTTCCGACGGAAATTCACTAGTAGCGTTTCAAATGTTTCTCATCTTTCAACGCATTTCACGTTTAATATTGTGTGTCACAGATGAACAAAAAAGTGGGTTGTAAATGTATGGCTGGGTAAATGTATCCGGATGCTGCTCACTGCACTCTGCTTGCCGGAATCCGAGTGGAAAAATAATCCGTCAAATACCACTCGTACTTCAAAATTAATCGGATATTTCCCTCAAACTTCCCTGCCTAGGAACGAGTGTGTCAAATTTTGCAGGATTAAAATCCCGATTCTAGGCAACGGAGCTATCGGAAAATATCCGATAATTTTGAAGCACTAGTGGTATTACTACTGAATATTTCGCAGTAGCTCTTCGTTTTTTCGGTTCATTTCAGATAGAACCTTATATTTGACAGTCTATAGAAATCGTATGATTCTATTAAAATAATTTGTTCAAATCTTTCCCAATTCACCTCCTGAAGTTGTCCACTGCACTCTGCTTGGTCAAAATCCGATTGGGAAAAATAATCAGACAAATACCCCTCGAGATTCAAAATTAATCGGGTATTTCCCTGAAGCTCCCCTGCAAACAAAATATCGTGCCAAGTTTTGCAGGTTAAAAAATCCCGAGCGCTTGCGGAAGGGATTTTTCTGCAAAAATTTTTATATCTCTTTCAGATTCTGAGACATTTGTCAAAAACTGAACAGTAGTCAAAATCGACTTAAGGCGGATTACCGCTTCGCTACTAAATTCACTTTTTTTTGTATTCTCACAAACCTCTTACGCTCCATGTCTCTTGAACACATCACCGAAATTTACATAGTCCTCTCATAAATTATCTTTCAAACCATCGTCACTAGCCTGCCAAGTTGAGAGGCTATTCCAGAATTCACTACAGACAAATCAAAAAACGATGGCGTATATGACAAGACTATAGGAATTTTTTCAGATTTTTTGCGATATTTTTAGACCTAGCCAAAACGATTCAAAAATCTTATGGGATTATGACCGTGAGGAGAGGGATCAAATCAATATTGCTCATTTTATTGAGAAGATATTCACATTATTATTATAAAATTCCAGCACGTGTTCCCAAACGACTGACGAATGAAGCAAATGTTTCATCACGGTCCTCGGGTCATTTTTCATTAAATTAAAAAGCCGGATTATCGCTCAAAACAGGGGTTTTTAGGCATGTCTCAATGCCTCACAACGTGTCGAATTCTTTCCGGATTCTTTGAAATGATTATTCAATTATTTCTCCATCGTCTCGTGAAACAATGGATATTTTGTCTTATACTCAATCAAAGAAAAATGCAAAAGAAAATTCAGGAATGTTCAGAGGGTGACAAGTGCTTGGATTAGATAGTGTCATTATGAAGGCCATATACCTGAAATGGAGGAGGTCAGTCCGCTGGCTCGCCCTCCCCTCGAAAGGGACTAAGCCTTTTATTACCCTCAATATATCATAAACTGCCTTTTTGTTTCGAGAATAACATTTTTTATTATTTCGCGTTTTAAATAACAAAATTCACATGATGGTATCACGCGTATTCCGACGATAACAACAAAACTTGAATGGAGGAAATATCTTAATTTGAAGTGATGACTGGTCTTTACGCAATGCCCCCTTCTCGTGTGCACTAGAATAGTAATGGTGTTTTCTTCATGTTCTGCTTTTGCTTTCTACGGTGAGCGATCCAAATTCCTCTGGATTCTTTATCCAGTTTCATGTAATCCAAATTTATAAACAATTTAATTTTTTAAACTGTGTTGGCGCAGGAAGTATTGATAATGAACGACAATACTTCAAGCTCCGTGAAGTTGGGCAGCCAGAGTACCGATATCGACACGTTGACTATGTCAACATTGCCTGCTTTTTACCTGCTTTTCTTCTGCACAAACCAAAAAAAATCTTGTATATTTTTTTCCCCGAACAGNACCTAGCCAAAACGATTCAAAAATCTTATGGGATTATGACCGTGAGGAGAGGGATCAAATCAATATTGCTCATTTTATTGAGAAGATATTCACATTATTATTATAAAATTCCAGCACGTGTTCCCAAACGACTGACGAATGAAGCAAATGTTTCATCACGGTCCTCGGGTCATTTTTCATTAAATTAAAAAGCCGGATTATCGCTCAAAACAGGGGTTTTTAGGCATGTCTCAATGCCTCACAACGTGTCGAATTCTTTCCGGATTCTTTGAAATGATTATTCAATTATTTCTCCATCGTCTCGTGAAACAATGGATATTTTGTCTTATACTC